TCATCTGGTTCACTAATGTCCTTTAGGGAAGGAAACTGCCATCCTTACCTGGTCTGGCCTGTACGTGACTCCAAACTCACAGCAATGTGGTTGACTCTTAACTGCCCTCTGGGCAATTAGGGATGGGCAATAAATGCTGCCGAAGTCACAAGAGTGTGATACTCTAATGAAGAAGTAAATGATAGGCTAACATTTTGAAAGAAATGTACATCAAAGAAATTCGTTCAATCAATTCAACTGGTATACAATAAAACAAATTGCATGCATGATCAAACCCAAAAAACTTTCACTTCAAAATTACACAACCCAAAGCCATCACAGCTCTGTCCAATTCTTGATCTCTCTCGCACTAAGTTGAAATGAGTCAAGTCTAAGCTGTAGAGACCAAATTCAAATAAGAAACTAGTCTGTACATGTGTTGCAAGTGCAGAAATCGATGAAATGAAGAAGAAAATTTTTACTTTGTAACATTGGATTTCAGAAAGCACATTACAGCTTATCTCACCTTGGTTTGGTTATTTGTCAAATAAATCTCTCACTGTTGTACAAATGCAAAGGTCAGGCCATTTCAAACGCAAATGTAGCCTGAGCACCCTGAACACTGGAAGATTGCAGGAGGGCTGCTATAATTGGTCTCAGTATCCCCTGCACTAGCAAAAGGAAACATCAGCCAGTATTTCTACTCCTAATTGCTTTCCAGTGATAGCAGTTGGAAGTGCATTTGTAGTAAAGCTAACTATGTTGGCGTCCATGGTCAAATAGCTTGCAGACACATATCACTGAGGCTCACTTAAGGTCATTTATCATTTTTATGGAAGTGCCCCAGGAAAGGAAAAATGTTTTTTGGGCAACAAACAAATCTCAACTGCTCACTCCTACCGTTTTCAAGGGCCGTTAAGCCAAAGATTCCATACTGCACTGAGCACATATATAATAATTTCAGCTGAAAGTCAAAACTCTTTCATAAATTCACTACAAACCAGTGCTAAAAGTGTCCATTTGTATAAACCCAAAGATATTTCACTTCTGACAAGGTCAGCTTGACCAACGGTGAATAATAGCTTTCTTGGCACAGAAAAATAAACAACTATTTATGAGAATTCAGCAATGTTTGCCTTGCAAGGTGAAAACTGTATACAAACAAATGATATCTCCCAATCAAACAGGTTTGCAATCTTCACAGTTTAGACTGGAGTCAACCAACACAGTTTTGCTTCTGTCCTTGCAAGAAGAAACCAAAAGAACCTTCTGTCTTTACCACCAGATCTTGAAAATTAGTCATTAATGGCATTAAACATTGTGTAGTCATCAGCGAACATCCCACTTCTGACTTAATAATGGAGGAAAGGTCATTGATAAAGCATCTGAAGATGGTTGGGCCAAGGACACTACTCAAAGAACTCCTGCTAAGGTGTTTTGGAACTGAGATATCTGAACTCCTACAATCACAACCATCTTCCTATTTGCTAGGAGTGACTCCAAACAATGGAAAACTTACTCTGCTACCCCCGATTCCCATTGACTACAGTTTTGCTAGGGCTTCTTGATGTCACATCTAGTTCAATGCAGCCTTGATGTCAAGGGCAGTCACTCTTATCTCACCCGTGGAATTCAACACTTTTGTCCCTTTTTAAATTAAGGCTGTAACGAGGTTAGGAGCAGAGTGGCCTTGGCGGAACCCAAACTAGTCATCGGGGAGTAAGTTATTGTGAAGCAAATGCAGCTCAATAGTGCCATTGATGACACTTGTTTTACAGATGATTATAGACTAATGGGGCAATGATTGGCCAGGGTTGAATATGTCCTGCTTTGTGTGTCCAGGACATACCCGGGCAATTTTCTATAATGTCAGCAAGATGGCAGCATTGTAGCTGCACTGGAACAGCTGTGATGTACATGTGAAGCTATCAGCTCATAATTGTATTTCTACTTGCATTATCACTTTATTTGTTTTGTTTTAATGTTACATAAATTCAGATTGGGTCAAAATCCTGGAATTCCCTCCCTAATAGCATTGTGAATCAACCTACTGGAGGACTGCAACAGTTAAAGAAGGCAACTCACCACCACCTTCTCAAAGGCAACTAGGGATGGGCAAGAAATGCTGGCCCAGCCAGTGACACCCACATCCCACAAAAGAATAGAAAAAAAGCAGATTCAGAGCCTTTTGTTTTGACCTTGTACTATTTTTAAATTTCTTGCCCTATCTGTTGTTTTACTGAGATTTATATTGTCTATCCATTCCTGTTAACATCTGTTTCCCACTATCCAGATAAATACCTTTCTCTCTCTTGTATTGTCTCTACTTTTCAACTTACAAATTTGACGAATGGCCCTCACTGATTGGACTAAAACTCTCTCTGCTTCCCTCGTTATGTGGCTTGTTAAAACACCAGCCCCAGCATGGTTTTGGTGTGGACCCTTGCAATGATATAGATCCACTTTCCCAATACTTGTGTCAGTTCCAGCAAAACTGAAACCACATCTTCTGTATTCTTGGTCTTTGGGCCATGTATTCATTATTCGAACCTTATTTCCTTTCTACTAATCTGCCCACACCTGATGTCATAATCCAGAGCTTATTTATTACCTCTACAATGTCCAGCAGATAGAAAAACAAAGGACTGAAGCATCCACAGTAACTCTAATTGTAACTTTTTTGGTCACTGTCTAACTGCTGCTTTAGGTCAGAATTAAGTTAATCTATTGTGCATTTCACTGCTGGAAGATCCTTACATAGGCAAACATTGCAGTGGTTTATTTTGCTCCCCTACTTCCTGGTACCAGGCCTACAATTTTGAATAAATAACCAAAATCCTGAAACACAGGTGAGCTCTAGTCAATTTGAGAACACGTTTGGCATTGGTACCTGGGTGCAAGGAGTAGCAAAATCTGCCAGTGTTATATCCCATATCTCAAGATAGTACTTTCCAGTTTGTGCTGCATATTTATGAGCTGCCTATTGACAAGTTTCTGACAACCATCATTTCATAAAAAACGGGGTCTTTTAGAACCTGAAGAGGAGGCAGCTGTAAGAGCTGACCTTGGATTTTATTGACCGGCTTAAATCTAATAGTTCACACTGGGCAGTAAAGTTATTTGTCCCATTTAACCTTGCTATTAAATGAACAGTTGTTAGGAGATTCAATTACACACTAGACTCCTCCAATAAATGGTTACTCGAAGCCTGCAGTTTGCAAGAGCATAAGTGAGCAGCCTCCTTCCGTTTCAACAGGAAGAATGAAACAAGCATTACCTAATATATTAAAACACAACCCTGTTTGTGCTGAAATAGCATTCAAGTAGTACAGGACTATAACTGCCTTTAACATTCTTGAGATTTATCTGAATACCTGCTCCATATCAGATCTGTTGACCTCTGCTTGAACCTGTGAGCAAGATACAACAGGGAAACTGATTCTATTCAGCCCAACCTGTCTCACACACACACAGAGAACAGGCAGCATTTGAGACCATGTATTAAGTATTATGGTTTCGCGAAGAGAGTTTGTACCTTTGGATCTGCAGCTGCAGTTGAGGTTGATCACTGCACTTTGAACAGTATAATTTAATAGTTGAGGCAATGGCAGTCAATCTAACAGCTTATTCTATAAAGAGAAGCTGTTGGAAGAGCTCCTTGACTTGTTGGTAGTGTCCTGACCTCTGGACAAAGAGGTCAGTATTGAAGTCCTACCTGCTCCACAGTTGTGATAGCAACTGAATAGATTGAATAGAAAAATAAAGGAGAAAGCTGAGAGCTGTTTGAAGCATTAATTGCAGACAAAATCAGTGAATAAAGGTTATGCATATTATAACCCAGGTTTTCATCATAATTTCCTCTGAAACATTTCTATTCCAAAGTACTTACTTTTACAGCAAAATAGTTGCTCTTTGATTTTTACTATCCAGTACACTGTTCAGAGATTTCAGTCTCAACTCTGCACAACAACTCGCTGATTTACTGTTATTAGGGGTTAAAATGATAGAGATGCAATAGTTTGCACTCTACTTACTATTAACTTCTAGAAAAACTCACTAAGTTGGAGCTCTACAGTCAAGTCACCAACTAACGAAACCATGACATTAATTTTGTGCCCTCAAAAAATGAGGTTGCATTATCTCTAACGGTACGAGCTATAACATGGAGCCTGAGGTACCACACGATGAGAATTCACACAAAGCTTCTTGACTAAGAGCAATGGTAAAACAGCAGCAGCTTCCATGTGTAGAGATTGTGACAAAACAGCTAGAAGGACCTCACAGAATATGAGCTCCCTGATTGGGATTGTTAATCTGGTCCAATCAGGGACCCCTGGCTGACAGACATCAATATCAACAGGATCAGTGTCAAGAACCCTCCACATGTAAATAAAGGGTGACTTGGTGACAGAATACTGGCCTCTAAGGAATTACTTCACCATGCTAGTTAGATATGACTGAAGGGCAGGAATGTATCCCAAAGATGATGTGTACGTTCCAATCCATGTTGATAATGAGTTTTAGGGAGGGTTTTTCTTTCACAGTGAACAGACTCTTACAGGTGAAAGACCTATGGTTCCATTTGCCTCAGAGCGCTGCTCCTTAATCTCCATGGTAGATAGAGACAGAACTTAATCTACATTGCCACATCACCCTGAAGTTTAAAACAGAAATTCTGCACACAAACAACAGATTCACGCTCCATTGTTCCTTTTTATAAAAAAAAGCTAGCTGCTGGTAACCTGAAATTAGTCTGTTTGTGCAGGACTCCGTTTATTAATGATATTAAGATTGAGGGATATATTATTACCTCTGTGTATTTAAGACATGTAAAATAAAGTTTTAACAGGGGAGGGCTCCAAATAACAGATGCTATGGAATCCATTTGCTTTTCTTAATCTAAAATTTTAAAGAATAAAACAAGAGCATCTTGAATTATGCAATGTTTTAAATGAATCCCATCAAGTTCAACAGAGTTTCTAGACTGGGGGAGACAGCAAGAAGAAAACGTAAGACCCAACCTGCAAAACTTGGTTTGTCCTCTTCCGCTCGCCCCAGGCTCTCTAACGTCCGGGTCACCTGACTTCCAAAGTCATCTTCTCGGTTGCGTGCTTCAGGCCGAAGCTGGTTTTCCTCTTCATCACAGTCATAATCATCCAAAATGGGCGTCTCTCGGATTGGCATTCCGACCACTGAATTATGGGCCTGTATCCGAGAGTTACGAAAGCTGTCCCTGGCCTGTGGTCCCAGCAGCACGGATGGGATGTAATGAATTTCGTGTGTGGCCTCTGTGCTGGCACTCTTCTGAGGGACCCGCCTCCTTTTGCACCACCTCCGGCGAGCGTACAGTACCATTGTGAAGATTAAGATGAGCAGCAGCAGAGCAATCAGACCTCCCTGTGAAGGAAAGAAAAAGTTAAGAATTTTTTTGTTCTGGTTTCAAATTTAAGCTTTCCCTCCCTATTACCATGTGGTCTTCCCTGCCACCACCTACAATTAGAATTGCTCAGCTGACGCGCTGATCTTGACTTTGCATGATATCCTAAAACAGATGATGGCAAGGCAGCTCTTTCTTTTACAACCACAGCAGTCATAGGATCCCCACAGTGTAGACAAAGGCCATTTAGCCCATTGAGTCTGCACCGACCCTCCAAAAGCCATCCTATCCACCCCACCCTAACCCATAACTCCACATTTCCCATGGCTAACCTACCTAGCCTGCAGATCCCTGGACACTATGGGTAATTTAGCGTGGCTAATCCACCTAACCTGCACATGTTTGGACTGTGGGAGGAAACCAGAACACCCAGCAGAAACCCACGCAGACACAGGGAGAACATGCAAGCTCGACACTGACAGTCACCTGAGGCTGGAATTGAACCCAGGTCCCTGGCACTGTGAGGCAATGGTGTTCACCACTGAGCCACCATGCCAACCAGAAAAACTGAAAAGATGCAAAATGGATTCCCAGCCCACCAGCAACTTGTTTTTCATTATTACATAGCACCCTGTTCAACCCATTTTCGTTCTACCCGTATAAGAGAGCATGTGGGAAAACGCAGTGTCACATATTTTACCGTCCTTGTCAAAGGGATAGTGAATGTTCAAGGTTGCCATTTCTCTCTGTCCTCTGTCCAAGGTGTAAAGAAATACATCCTTCATCGAATAGTCTGCCTGCTTGCTTAAAAATCTCCTGATCGTGACTAGTTAGTATTCCACGAAGCAAAAAAGAACACTTTTTAAAGCATATTGTGATCTTCAGGTCAGATAGGTAACTCATTCCATCCTATTATTTTAAGGTTCCGGTTATAAGTAGTTCATGAAAAATAGTAACTGAGCACAGGAAGTTTGTATATACAGACTGATAACTGAATACTTCACTGAAAGCTATATTTAGTTTCTGTACGGCTAAGATATTGGAAATGTGAACCTGTTTATTTAATATGACCAATCAAGGACTAAAGTGGATTGTGATGGTCCATTGATATTCTTATGTTTTTCCCTCATTATTTGGTGGAATTTCTACCGGGTTTTGTGGTCTTGGAGGCTTTACCTTCTCCCTCAGGTCAGTATCTATATTTGTTGGAGGCCTTCACGCATAAACAACATAATACCTGTTAGGATAAATACATTAAACGGATGCATTGTCTCATTGCTGCATCAAAGGGACTTTCTATCTTAGCAATTTTTAACATCAACTCTGAAGTTTCCTTTTCAAGTGCACATACTTGGGAAGTACATGGAGATTGTCTTTCAATACAATTTCCTCTTTACGTAAGGAATAGTGAATGTACAAGATACAAATAATGTGTGATCCGGATGAAAGAGTAGATGATTGTCCATGTTAGCTAATCCATTTGTCCCTTCTTCCATCCACCTCCTCAAAAGAATAAAAAGCCCAATGCTGAACAGTTCAATACCACCTATTATGATGGGTCTTTTTACTGACTTCCAAAATAAAGGTTTTGCCAATTTTCTTTTTACAGATAACTGCTACATGTATATTTGTCAAATAAGCCTCAATCTTTAAATGAACAGCAAAGGATTATAGGAACACAATAGTAGATTTGTACAGTCTTGTCAATTTCTTACTGACAGCTATGAATAGTCTTCTGTTTATGAAAGGATTGTACACAGGGTATTGCAGTTCAAAGCAATTGCAAAGAAAAGCAACAAAGAGACACACTCTTCAATGCAGTTCACTATTCAGGGAGATATTCCAGCCAGCATCCTTTCAATCTAATTATCTACATCTCACGCAGTACTGAGGTTATTTTTATTTACTGGTAAAATAAATAATTGCTTCCCCAGACTTGGAAGCATTAAAATATCACCCTTAGTGTTTTTTCGTTCTTTTGGCAAGTAACCAATTTTCCTCAGAGTGGAGTATGAGCTTCTTTCTCCTGACCAACTTAAATCGTACAGCAAAGCGAAGATCAATAGTTCAAAGGACTAAATGAATGCAATATGGTAGTAGTAATTACAATCCCCATTCTCCATTTCCAACTTCATCCATTTCTTCACTGTTAATTAATTGACAGTAATACCAAAAAGGGATCATAAAACATTATCAAAGTCTGCTTAGTTTAGTGCTGAAAAGAATGCACTGAATAATGCTAACATGTTTACATTTACTGCCTACAAAACCAGGGAAATGGTGTGTCAAAATAACAATTTAATATCCAATACTGCAGAGTAGGCCACTGCATTTAGCAAGTAACAGATCATAACACTAAATTTTCTAATATCATTGCGACATGATTTTGTTCCCTTGCCAATTATTTCCCAGACATATGTCTTTATAGTGTTAGTTTGTTGATATGGTGTGATTCTTTATAAACTTTGAAGGTAACATGCTGGGAAAACAATCAGAGCAGAGGCTGATACTCCTCTCAGCTGACATTAATGCCGTCCATAGTTGCCTGATAATTATTAGGAGCAGCAACCCTTGTTGATCATTTCCTTCTGAACCCAGGAACAAAGTCAATTGAAAGCAATACTTCATGTCACCATTTTCACTTTGAACTGAATCTGATCCATGAATGTACATATGTATTAGGAGCCCGAGTAGGTGATTCAACCCTCCAAACCTGTTCTGCCATTCAATCAGAGATAGTAGGAACTGCAGATGCTGGAGAATCTGAGAAAATAAGGTGTAGAGCTGAACGAACACAGCAGGCCAAGCAGTGTCAGAGGAGCAGGAAAGGTGACTTTTCAGGCTTCAATGTTACAAGGGTTTCTGATTCAACCACTCTTTCTGGCTCTGAGTTCTTGACTCCCACTATGCTCTGGGTGGAAAGAAATTCCCTTCAACTCTCCTCTTAGCCTTTTGCCTCTCACCTTAAATCCATGCTGTCTGGTTTTTGGCCCCTCTACTATTGGGGAAAAAGAAAGACTTCTTATCCATAGTATCTGTGCCCCTCACAATCTTCTCAACCTCTAGCAGGTTTCTGTGAACCTTCAGTGCTCCAAAGAAAACAAACTATCTATCCTATCTTCCCTCACATCTCAAACCATCCAGCCCATGCAGCATTCTGGTTAATCTACTCTGCACCTTCTCCATATAGACCATGTCTACCGCCCTGTCGTCATCAAACTTCCTGGTCACTTTATCAAAGAATTCTTATAAGTTTGTAAGGCATGATCTCCCAAGCACGAAGCCATGCTGACTACTCCTAATCAAACCCTATCTTTCCAAGTGCATGTATATCTTATCCCTCAGATATGTATGACTGATGTACGAGGACAGGTTGAATCAGTTAGGTTTATGTTTGCTGGAATTGAGATTGAGGGGCTGGAGGGGGCAGGCATTACACAGAAACCAATAAAATTCTAACATGACTATGCAGGTTAGACGTAGAAATTATGTTACAGAACCAGGGGTCACAGACCCAGGATAGACCATTCCTGTTTTCTACGTTTCATAGCATATCCTTACATAAAAATCCTTACATAAAACTGTACAATTTATGCGCTGTTTCTCTCAAAATGCATGTGAGCATCCATTTTTGCTGGCCAACTGTATAACAAGGAGCAGCTGAATAGGGTCCAGACCCAAAACGTTAGCCTTCCTGCTCCTCTGATGCTGCTTGGCCTGCTGTGTTCATCCAGCTCTACACCTTGTTATCTCAAATTCTCCAGCATCGGCAGTTCCTACTATCTCTGAGCTGAATAAAAGCCTTTTTCTCTTTTACTCAAAATGAAGGGAAAACTAAAGAACTGAGTTTCATAAGACTGTGATCAGAGTTCATTTTTACCTTGTGTCTTTAATCACTGCTGCACTTTGCTGCCATTTCCTACTCCTGTCCATGAGACCATAAGACATAGGAGCAGAAATTAGGCCATTTGGCCCATCGAATCTGCTCTGCCATTCAATCATGGCTAAGTTTCTCAAACCCATTCTCCCGCTTTCACCCCATAACCTTTGATCCCCTTGACAATCCAGAACCTATCTAACTCTGACTTAAATATACTCAATGACCTGGCCTCCTCAGCATTCTGTGGCAATGAATTCCATAGATTCACCACTCTCTGGCTGAAGATGTTTCTCCTTATCTCCGTTCTAATGGGTCTTCCCTTTACTCTTCACTCTTGCACACAAGTGAATAAATGAAGAAAATGTGTGCGAGCATTGAAAGAGTATCCATATTTTCACAGATTCTTCAGGCATAGTAGGTCAACCCAGTTTTAATCCTCACTCAACATTTGTGAGAGGATATTTTCAGCAGAATCCATTGGGTGATGACCTGGAACAGGAACCTTGACTAATGTTTCATTTTGTCCCATATAGAAATGGAGGTTAACTATTGTTAGTCCAAACCACAAACAGGACCTCTGACTAATAGAAATATCACAATGAATTAAAACTGGGACCTCCTATACTGGTTTGCCTCAGCAAATCACTGACTCCATGAAACAAACAACTGGGTAATCAATTTTATTTTTCACAAATTGCTCGTCTCTCTTTAGGTGATTCGCTGCATGGCCCATCAAATTTTTCTCCCTCTCCTCTATGGTTTTTCCAACTTTGTTTTGTTTGTTTGCTGTTTCTGTCGTTATCACCTTTCACTTTGATTGAATTAAATGTTTTACCGTTTCCTTTATTGAATAATTTCTCAAAGGATAATGCCAGTAATTGGCATAGTGCTTTGGAAAGCCAAAAAACAAAAGGCTTGGGTGTAGAAATTTTTCTGGGTGATGTCACAAAACAGGCACTATCAGATCAATAAAAACCAAAAGAACTGCGAATGCTGGAAATCAGAAGCAAAAGAAGAAGTTGCTAGAAAAGCTCAACAGGTCTGGCAGCATCTGTGAAGAAAAATCAGAGTTAACGTTTCAGGTCTGTTGACTCTTCCTCAGAACTGAGTTCTGAGGAAGAGTCACCAGACCTGAAACGT